ATTTACAACACATAGGAAAATCACATCAGATGACAAAATGGTGGACAATCACACAATACTGGGAATCATGGCCTAGCCAAATTGATACACATATTTTGGGGGGACACAATTCAATCCGTGACAGGGTCCAATATCATTTCCTTAGTTTTGGCTTCTTCTGGAACTAACCTCCATTCTGGCCTAAGAGCAGTCTGATATATGTAAAATAGCCCTGCCTCTGTGATCACACCTGAGTTTGAATTCACCCTCTGCTGATTACTAGCTCTGTGACCTTGGCAGGTCACATTTGTATGACATGTGGCTTATGGTACCTACTTATGGGGGTTATTATTAAATGAGATACTTTATGCAAGCTTCCTGGCATGACACATAGTAGCTATTCAATAATATTTATTCATTAATTATTCATAATTTATTCATTAATAATAATTGTTTGGGTGATATGGAGTTAGCAGAATGTAACATGGTAGAATTATTAGGATTGACTGAAGCAGAGCACTTTCTCATAACTTCACATTTTCAGAATAATCAGCTTGGAAATTCTCCCTTTCCACGAAATCAAACGGGCACCATCTCTGCTGGAAAGCCAATGGTAAGTATCCTTTAAGAGATCTCAGTACATTTGTTAGCGTTAGATACTCAAGGTTGCTTCCTAATTTTTATAATCTGAGTTAAGGAGTTAGGGCAATTCAGTAGTATTCGGAATATCAAGGCCATGTATACCGAGGTCACATTCTCAACAGCAGACTATGTAAAGAAAACGTCCAAATCAGTAATCATGAGGCATTGTGAAGGTAGGTTAGTTTGATGTCAGAAAATGGTTCTAAGAGACATAGATTGGTCCATTTTCCTTCCTCTGGAGGATTTTGTCCATATATCACTGTTAGAATGATTTCTTCTTATTCTCTGTAAATTCTTTGTATCCCAATAATCTTTGCAACTGCCATCATCCATTATGTCACAACTTCTGAGGGAACTATCTTGGAGTGTGATAAAATGTTAAATACTTTTCTGTCTCTTTTGTCTTTTAGTTTTCTCACAAAGTACCCCAGAAAATGAAATATCCACTGTCATTCCCAGTGGGACCCAACTCATCTCTTCTCTTCTCCTCCCATGCTCTGGGGGAATCTCCTGCTTTTTCTGAGGATCCCATGCTGCAGGACAGCCCCTTTGCCAATTGGGCTGTGTCTTATGACTCCTCTACATCCCAGTTTCCTAATTACCTGACTTCTAAAGCTTCACCTCCTTTGAGACCACACTCTTCCCACTCCTCTTCCTCTGATGGTGATGAATCAAATGGAACCAGCTCTCAGTAAGCATCTGTATAGACACACAGAGGAACAGATTTCTGAGGCATCTGTATTCTTTTCCTGGTAACCTGGGTAGGGGTTGTGGGGAAGTGTCTGTTCCAGGCTTTCCTCTGTGGCTCTTTGCCTTTAAACTAAGTAGGAAAACATTCCCTATGCTTGCCCATTTCATTCTTATTTTGACCCTGTAATTTTCAGACACCCAGACAACTGAGGTAAAAGGCAGCATAGCAGCTGGTTAGGGAGGTCCTGTTGTGGGATGCTATGTATCATGGCTCTCATTTCTCAGTTAGTAAGGGGAGTAGATTGGATGTTAAAAAAAAGAAAAGACTATCTAAAGCAATAGAACAAGATAAAGAAATAAAGGGCATCCAAATTGGTAATGAAGAAGTAAAAGTATCCCTATTCACAGATGATATGATACTATATATAAAGAACCCAAAAGACTCCACAAGAAAACTACTGGAACTAATAGAAATATTTAGAAGAATAGCAGGATACAAGATAAACGTATAAAAATCAGTTGTATTCCTATCCACCAATAAACAGAACTATGAAAAGGAAATCAGGAAAGCAATACAATTTATAATAGCCCCTAAAAAAGTAAAATACTTAGGAATAAATCTAACCAGGGACATAAAAGACCTATACAAAGAACACTACAAAACACTAAACACTACTGCAAGAAACCAAAAGATACCTACATAAATGGAAAAACATACTATGCTCATGGATATATAGACTCAACGTTGTGAAAATGTCAATTCTACCCAAAGCAATCTAAAAATACAGTGCAATCCCTATCCAAATACCCACAGCATTCTTTAAGGAGATGGAAAACTTGATCATTAACTTTATATGGAAAAGAAAGAGGCCCTGGATGAGTAAACCATTATGGAAGAAGAACAAAGTAGGAGGCCTCGCACTACCTGACCTCAGAACCTACCATACAGCTACGGTAGTCAAAACAACCTGGTACTGGTACAATGACAGACACATTAACCAATGGAACAGAATTGAGAACCCAGATGTAAATCCATCCACCTATGGTCACTTGATCTTAGGCAAAGGCCCAAAATCCATTAAATGGGGAAAAGACAGTCTTTTTAACAAATGGTGCTGACACAGCTGGATGTCCATCTGTAAAAAAATGAAACAGGACCCATACCTTACACAAAAACTAATTAAAAATGGATCAAAGACCTAAATATAAAACCAAAAAATAAAGATAATGGAAGAAAAAATAGGGTCAATGCTAAGGGCCCTAATTTATGGCATAAATAGCATACAAACCATAACTAACAAAACACAAACACCAGAAGATAAGCTCGATAGGGATCCTCTAAAAATTGAACACCTATACTCATCAAAGAGCCCTGGTAGCACAGTGGTTAAGAGCTATGGCTGCTAACCAAAAAGGTTGACAGTTCAAATCTACCAGCTGCTCCTTGGAAACCCTATCGGGCAATTCTGCTCTGTCCTACAGGGTCACTATGAGTTGGAATCAACTTGATGGCAATGGTGTTTTTTTGCTACTCATCAAAAGACTTCGCCAAAAAAGTAAGAAGAGAACCTACAGACTGGGAAAAAAATTTGACTATGATATATCCAATTAAGGTCTAATCTCTAAAATCTATAGGAAAATCCAACAACTCTGCAACAAAAAGACAAATAATCCAATTAAAAAATGGGCAAAGGATATGAACAGACACTTCACCAAAGAAGACCTTCAGGTGGCTAACAAACAGATGAGGAAATGCTCGTGATCACTAGCCATTAGAGAAATGCAAATCAAAACCACAATGAGATACCATCTCACCTCAACATTACTGGCACAAATAAAGAACAAAAACAAAAACAGAAAATAACAAATGTTGGAGAGGCTGCAGGGAGATTGAAATTCTTAAAAGCAATGCTAGTGGGAATGCAAAATGGTACAACCATTTTGGAAAACGATATGGTGCTTCCTTAAAAAGCTAGAAATACCATATGATCCAACAATCCCACTCCTAGGAATATATCCTAGAGAAATAAGAGCCCTCACATGAATAGATACATGCACACTCATGTTCATTGCAACATTATTCACAATAGCAAAAAGATGGAAACAACCTAGGTGCCCATCAACAGATGAATGGATAAACAAACTATGATACATATACACAATGGAATACTACGTAACAATAAATAACAATGATGAATCTGCAAAACATCTCCCAACATGGATGAATCTGGAGGGCATTATGCTGAGTCAAATAAATCAATCACAAAAGAAGAAATACTGTATGAGACCACTATTATAAAAACTCATGAAAAGATTTACACACAGAAACAATCTTTGATGGTTACGAGGGAAGGGAGGGGTAGAGAGGGAACAACACTAACTAGACAATAGATAAGTGGTAACTTTGATGGAGGGTAAGACAGTACACAATACTGGGGAAGTCAGCACAACGTGAACAAGGCAAAGTCATATAAGCTTCATAGACACATCAAAACTCCCTGAGGGACCGAGTTACTGGGCTAAGGGCTGGGGACCATGGTCTTGTGGAACATCTAGCTTAATTGGCATAACATAGTTTATAAAGAAAATGTTCTACATCCCACTTTGGTGAGTAACGTCTGGGGTCTTAAAAGGTTGTGAGTAGCCATCTAAGATACATCTACTGGTCCTACCCCATCTGGAGCAAGGGAGAATGAAGAAAACCAAAGACACAAGGGAAAGATTAGTCCAAAGGACTAATGGACCACAACTACCACAGCCTTCACCAGACTGAGTCCAGCACAACTAGATGGTGCCCGGCTACCACCACTGACTGCTCTGACAAGGATCACAATAGAGGGTCCCAGACAGAGCTGGAGAAAAATGTAGAACACAATTCTAACTCACACACACACAAAAAAAGACCAGATTTACTAATCTGACAGAGACTGGAGAAACCCCGAGAGTATGGCTCCTAGACACCCTTTTAACTCAGTACTGAAGTCACTCCTGAGGTGCACCCTTCAGCCAAAGATTGGACAGGTCTATAAAACAAACAATAACACACGTATTTCAACCATGTATACGAGACTAAAGGGGCACACCAGCCCAGGGCAAGGACTAGAAGGCAGGAGGGAATAGAAAAGCTGGATGAATGGAAATGGGGAATCCAAGGTCGAGAAGGGGAGAGTGTTGACATGTCATGGGGTTGACAACCAATGTCAAAAAACAATATGTGTATTAATTGTTTAATGTAAACTTTCACCTAAAGCCCAATAAAAAATAAAAAATTTAATAAATGAAAAAATTTAAGAGTTGAAGTATTGGAACAGTTGAATAGGTAGTTATACTGCTTAGTAACTAAAAGAGTATTCTAAGGATTAAAACGGTGGGATTTTTTACTAGCCCATTTGTTCCTAATTATTTCTCAGACAGATTATTCCTAAGAAACAGAGTTGCTTTGAGGTTTTGATTGTAATTATTTTCTTAGAACATAAGCAGACTCTAAACGTAGCCTCTTACAAGATGTAGAGGATTCAGAATGATTCCCATGACTTTTTATCAATTTGGTTTAGGTCAGATGAAAGAAGCCAGAGAGGGCAGTGATAGCTACTGAGAGGAAAGGTATAAGGTTGACTGCTAACCCAGTGTCCCTGACTTCCAGAGGGTTTGTGAGATTACTTTCAATCAGAAAAGGCATCTACTTGAGTTGGAATATCTTTATCAACCTCCCTTCTCTTGTCTACACTCTCTTTCTAAATTTTTTAGTCACATCGCAGAAGCACTTCAGAAACAGCCTGGATGGGAGGGTACCAATGGTGACAGAGTGTCCTGGGTACAGCCCATTGATGCTGCAGTTTCAGATGCCAGCCCCATAGCCTATCTCTGCTGTCTGTGTCTACGAGAAACCACATGGACATCACCATTCCGCCCTTACCTCCAGTAGCTCAAGAAGTCTTACAGGTTGCTGAACAAAGACACCAGAGGGGTCTTATGTACCCTTATATCTGTCATATCCTCACTAAGGTGAGACAGCACATCAACACCTAACCCCTTTTCTCTTAGCACTATACTTCACACTTCTTAGGACTGTATGTTACCAGAGAAAATTCTGATCACTGGTATCTGAAGGGAGATAAAAGGAGACCAAGTGTGTTGAGGCCCTATCTTAGTTATCTAGTGTTACTATACCAGAAATACCACAAGCGGATGGCTTTAACAAAGAGAAATTTATTTTCTCACAATCTAGTAGGCTGGAAGTCCAAATTCAGGGCATCAGCTCCAGGGGAAGGGCTTTCTCTCTCTGTTGACTCTGGAGGAAGGTCCTTCTCATCAGTCTTCCCCTGGACTAGGAGCTTCTCTGTGTAGGAACCTTGGGTCCAAAGGATGCGCTCTGCTCCTGGCACTGCTTTCATGGTGGTATGAGGTCTCCATGTCTCTCTGCTCGCTTCTGTCTTTTATATCTCAAAAGAGATTGGCTGAAGACACAATCCAATCCTGTAGATTGAGTCCTGCCTCATTAACATAATTGCTGTCTATGCCACTTCATTAACATCATAGAGGTAGGATTTACAACACATAGGAAAATCACATCAGATGACAAAATAGTGGACAATCACACAATACTGGGAATCATGGCCTAGCCAAACTGACACACATATTTTTGAGGAGTACAATTCAGTCCATGACAGGCCCCTCATTGCTTTATGGGCCTCAGGGTGAGGGGAGATCAACAGAAGATAGGACTGTGTAATAAATGAGACTGCTGGAAGAAAAGTGTCCCTGTGAGATTTGGAAAAATACGCACCGTTGTCCCAAATTTGTTTGATTTTAACTCAGCTGTCACCTCGAGTGGGAAGGAGACAGGGAGTAATCTCCCACAACCCAGATTATGTATATTGTCCTGGATGGAAAGTCATGCTTCAACCACAAGACACAAAAATGGAAATAAAGGATCTTATTACTCACAGGTCGTTGGGGTACATGACATGCCTGAGCCACGACACGTGGGGAGTTTGAGATTGGAGAGAGAGAGAAAAAGCAGACCTTAGGCACAACCTTTATTAGTGTCTGAGGGTGGGGTGAGGGCATTTTTCACAGGGTATATGACCATTGGTCCTTTTGAAACTAAAGAACGGAAAACAAGGGAGAGTGGCTATGAAAACTTAGTGGGGCAGCTATGGGGAGCTGAGGAGTGGCAAGTGTGAATGTTTTCAGAAGCATGATTATCTGGGGCAACTAGCTGCAGTGGAGTGTGTTGCACCAGCTAACAGGGTGAGGAAGGAGCCCAACCTCGATGCACAGACATCATCGAAGAAGGAGACTGGCTATTATAATCCATCCTGTGATGCCGAGGCATCTTTTGATGGTTGGGAGATAACATGTATGGCTTAGGTGGCAGAAATGTTAAACAACATGGGGAGGGTGTGTTGCAGCCAGGAAAACACATATTTGATGACAGCTGTAATAAGCTTGAGTGCAATCAAAATGCAAACTAAAGCTTGGAAACCTGTGCAGAGCCATTGGCCCCATGTGGAGGAATCTAATCAAGAGAACAAAGCAGAGATATCTGAGGCAACTGGGATCTGTTGGAAGACCTTGGTTTTATTACAAACTATTTGAACCTCTTGGGCCATTTGTCATACGTTAACCTGTACCTTCTCTGAGTGGTTAATGTACATACAGCAAGTGGCTTCTGATAGTGCACTGAGGCCTCCCTTGTGAGCCAATAGGCAGTCTAAAGCTAGTCTCTTGTCTAATACCATTTGGTCCAGAAAGTCATGCTGTTCATGCATGAGGGAAAGGGTATCATGAAGGCGCTGAATGTGTTTAGTTAGGGCAGAGGACAATTGTATATTGGCCTCGATCCCTTGCTCTTGCGTGACCAGGGCAGCTATGCCAGCACCTGTTCCAGTCAACCCCAGTAATACTGAGATGCCTAGAATGATGGGTATAACTAACTATGGCTCTTTTGGATTAGGGTTGCAGCCCGGTGGACATAATTCCCTGGGGATAGATTTGTGGAAGTGAGCCTAGGAAAACAAGAGTGCATTGTATGACTCTCCCCCACACACACCTGTGGCAATTTATGAGCCAGTTGAGATAATGAAAGATGGATAAAATGTCGCCCCCATTGGGAGGGACCGCAGTAAATATCAAATGGTGAAGAAGGTTGAAAGGTCTTCAGTAAGGAGACCAGGGACTTTGACCCATTTATTATCAATTTGCAACATGTGTCTTCTTGTAATACGGTTCTGAGGAAATGGGGGCCAGGAAGCATTTAAGCCAGGGCATATTAGTAGCAGAGTGCTGGTGGCAGCTGCTCCAAACTGACCTGGGTTTGAACAATTGGTATTTATAGTGGATACAATGTTTATTAATAGAGTAATCCAAGGTGTAGCCTCTTTAATCCACTGAATTTCAGCATAGTTGAGGATATCGGCAGGATAAGCTTGGAGAGCTGGGTGGAACTGAGAAGTGGCCAAGTCACAAATCCAGCAGTTTCTGTATTATAGAGAAAAGGTGCCCCATTCTACCCATTGTACAAACAGGTTAGAGGTATGGCTGAAGTTGGGAGGTGGCCAACTAGAGGAGGTAAAAGTTTGGGGATATAAGAAGGATGGAGGGCAGGGGTATGGCACCCAGTAGTGAACATTGATGGCCTAGTTTTGGTGGTGGAGGAAAGGAGAGCAGTGGTCAGCAGGGGGTTAAGGGGTCAAGGGGTCTTGGAGTTAGCTGGGGTTCCACTGGGGGCCAAGAGAAGTCATAGCTGAGTACCCCCCAGAAGGGCACATAAGGCTGGGAGGTATTGTGGTATGGATACAGGGAAGCAGGATAGAGAGGGAGTATTATAAGGAAGGGTTGATAGGGTTTGGTTTTTAATACATTGTTTGGCCTGCCAGAGAGGTGTGGCAGCTTCTAGTGCTGCCAGGCAGTCGGCAGGGAACCTACTCACTGTTTTGCAGGACTCTTTGTAGAAGCAGGGCTCATTAGCTAAACAAATAACCAGTTCAGCAAAATACCATTCAAGGGGATCATCTCTGGGAAATTTGTTTTAGCAAAGCTCAAGGACCTGGTCTTTGGTCTGCAAAAAGATTTGTCAGGTCCGAGGACAATGAGGTAGGCACCCATTCCGAGTATAGCTGGACTGGGGGTCCCTTGGGGTGGATATGTCTCATCTAATGGACAGACCTGTGCTCTGTCATCTGTGGCGTTGTCATCTCCAGTGATGACCTTGTGGCCTGTGACAATGTTGTCTGAGGTACGGTCATCTCCAACAATGACTTCTTGGGCTGGGGCAATGTCGTCTGATGCGTGGTCATCTCTGGGGCCATGCTCAGGGGCTCAGTCTGGATAAAGGGATATGGATGTCCCTCCCAAGTAGCAATTCATGTGGGAAAGGTATCATGACCCGGAGGTAAGTCAGTCATGTAATAGGTGGAGGCTTTTTGTAGGATGGAGCCACATATACAGGTACAGCTACTCGTACAAATCTGTGTCATGTGGGATAGGTCATTTGGGGCACATTTGGCAAAAGCCTTGGCTGTGGCCTACTCAAAGGCATAAGAGGACTCCATCCCTAACAGATATAAATTTTGAGCACATTTGTAAGCCAATTGCAGGGAGTCTTTTACACCTCAGTGTTTGGCCAGAGAGAGTGATGGAAAGGTCATTGGAGCATAGGTCGCGTAGCCGTGAGGGCTTAAAACGAAGACCTGTCAATGGCCATCTTCCTTGATTTAGAATTTGTTGCATGGTTTGTGAGAGCTGAGACTCTTTTAAACACCATTTCCACAAGACCCATTTTGAATACAGGGAACTAAGTACCTGGTCATTATGCAGAGCTGGTGGCAGTTGGCCGTGGGCCTTTTGTCAGACCCCTCTAACAGTTAGCGTCTTGCCATCCTATGGTGCAATTGCAGGCGAGCTGCGTATTGTTCCAGCATACTCCATGGGTGATTGTTAATCCCATGGGGTCTAGTAATAATCCAATAAACCAAGTCACACAAATGCCACCAATAACCATAGCCAGAGCAAGAATTTGCATTTTATTAATTGCTGTTGTCTGGCATTGCTAGTTGGTGCTAATTGTATAGTGATCATTGATGTCACCTGGTTGTATTTTTCCATTTTGTGACTTGTGATGTCTTCCCAGGTGACATAGGGGTCCTACTGCTGTCGGAAGGCTTGGAAGTAAATTTGGAGACTGTTGGGCTGGCTCATTTTTGGATGTGGCTGACATCTACTAAGCACAGGGACTCTTGCCCTCTTTCTGAGATCTACACAGTGCCGCTAGTTGGGCCTGGCGCTATTATCTCAATTTCTGTCTTAAGGTGTGGTGGCAGCTTCACGGGCTCCCAGTGCACAGCACCCACCAGGAAGGCTAAGAACTTAGGTTTAGATCAGAAAGCATGACGGCAAATCAGAGCATTCATTCCTGTAATGTGGAAAGACAAAACCAGAGGAGCCCCACATCTGACAGCTGTTTAAGAAAGATCATACCAATAGAGACATCTACTAAAATTTGTATGCCTGTGAGATGCTTTCCAGCTATTCCCTTTCATGTAGGGACAAGATAGCCTGCTGTAAGGTAGCTAACTTGGTCTCAGATTGCCTGGAGATAAGGTAATCAGGGATGTCCATGTGCTGGAGTTGCCAATATACTGAGGCTTGGTTAACATCTTGACTGGGAGCATTAGGAGGAAAGGGCCTTTGGGCCGGATAGTAGGGGGAGGCCCCTTGCCTTTGGAATTTGGGACAGGGAAGTGGGGTCTGGGAGGAGCTGCAAAATAATGCTGAGAATGAGGTAGGAAAATGAGGATTCAGAGGTCTATTGGGGTATCCAGCCATGGGAAGGATTTGGGCATCTGGATGTGGATCTTCCTTATTATGTGCCACCACATCTACTCTGTCTGTCTAGGGCTGTTTGGATGGTATTAGCAGTCTCGATGAAAATGTAGATGGGCCACCCTGTAATTAGTAGGAGTGCCCTGTAGGAAGAATTCTCTAGATTCTGAATCAAATGGGGCCTCTTCAGGGTTATAGATGAAGAGCTGTTCCTCAGGGAAATTATGTTTGAAGAAATGATAAACCGATTGGACCATTCTGATTTTATCCAGCAGGAGACAGGCTTCATCTAAGGTTTTCCATTCGCATTTGGCCTTGACTGTTATGACCTCGATGGAAGGATATGCCTTATGCCAGGCAATGAATATCCATGTCAAAAGTAGGAGGGCCTTGGAGGGGGCATGCTTAGAGACCTCTTCTCCTTTCTGGATGACCACATCCTCCTTGTCTGAGGTTTCTAAAATCTTATCTAAATCACCTTCTGTGAGCTTCTTCCCCCTTGCCCTGTGGATTTTACTCCTTCCCCTTATTGAGGAAAACAGGGGAAGCTTGGGGTCAGTGGTTTCTCATAGAAATTTGGCACAAACTTCCACAAGATCTTTAAGTAAATTATGAATTTTAGGGTCTTTAGAGATACTGGCCAGTTGGTGCATTTCAGCTGCGGTGAGCAACAATGCAAAGCTCATGCTAAACACCCGGTATAGCCAGTCTAATCCCTTCTCTCCCACCTGCTGCACAAAATCTTTAAGAAAATTTTGGATTTCAACCATATTATAATTTTGAGTTTCAGTTTCGAATTCATTGTGGTCCCTAGCTATTTTGGTCAGTGGCCAGACTCGTAGGTGGTCGCTACCCTCTCCAGGGTATTCCAGTTAACCTCACTGGGGTCAGGATCTTCCTCTACCAGCACAATTTCAGCTGGGTCCTTTGGATTAGCTCCTAGTACATGAGATCGGAGCATCAGGCTTTAGTGTGCTGATACACCACAGCACTGAGAGCAGCCCGTACTGCCTCCACTGGGGTTTTGCATTTAGTCAGAAGTTTGTCCAATTCCTCTGATTCTTAGGAGAGGCCAGCACCAGATATTCTGGGCAGCAATATTGGCTCATGAGGCATTTAGCTGCAATGCACCAGGGATGGGACCCATGATACCCCATGGGGTCAGGGGACACAGAGCGACAGCAGCAAGGAATGCAGCAACATAGGAGCCACCAGTTCCAGCCACACTTCCCATTTCATGGTTCCGTGACTACCTGGAGAAGTTGCCACCTTTACTTATCTTGGTCCAGTTAGGATTGGCTCACCTCGACCCAGTGTCCTGACACTATTTGACACCACAGCAGTCTCAGCAAGGAAAGTCTCCCTCTTTCCTTGCTGGAGAACTTACCTTGATTCCTAACATCTATAGCCCGAGGGGCAGAGCTCCACAATTCCAGTAGCTCACCCTGACTCAACTCCGGAATGCTCCTTCATGTAGTCAATTGTGGTTGCTCCCCTAGACCCTTCAGGAGAGATTAGCAGTCCTCTGGAAAATGCATCCATACTCCCCTGGGGGTGGGGTTGTGGTCACCGGGTCCAATCAATGTATCCTCAGTTAAATGGGAGACTGGGAGGACTCGGGCTATTTTTGGCATGGCCAACAATTTAGAGTGGGGAATCCAGGCAGAGGAACTACGCAGTGGTGCAACAAAGCGCAACAGACCTCCAGCAAGCAGTAGTTCCTTCCCAGACCAAGTTGACTGTCTGAGCTAGGAAATTGGTAAGCCAATTGCAGTTAGAAGACATGTCGTGCCCTGTGGCAAGGATGACTATTCCATCCCATCCTTGTTGCCACTTGTCCTGAGTGTGTTTGTATTTAACTCAGCTGTCATTTTGAGGGGAGAGGAGACAAGGAGTAATCTGCCACAGCCCAGATTATGTATATTGTCCTGGATGGAAAGTAACGCTTCAACAGTAAGACATAAAAATGGAAATAAAGAACTTTATTACTCACAGATCCTGGTGGTACACAGTACACCCATAGGCCACAGCACACCCAGGGAATTTGCAGGTGGGGAGAGAGAGAGAAAGTGGACCTGAGGCACTGCCTTTATTAGGGTTCGAGGGTAGGGTGAGGGCATTTTCGCAGGGTACACGACCATTGGTCCTTTTGAAACTAAAGAACGGGAAACAAGGGAGAGTGGCTATGGAAACGAAGTATGTCAGCTGTGGGGAGCTGAGAGGTAGAAAATGTGGATGTTTTCAGTAGCATGGTTATCTGGGGCAACTAGCTGCAGTGGGGTGTGGTGCACCAGCTAACAGGGTGAAGAAGGGGCCCAACCTGGATGCAGAGGGATCATCTAAGATGGAGGCTGGCTAATATCATTATAACAGTGCACCAAGTTGGTGGACTTTGGTTCTAGGGGTGGACTCAATCCAAGAAGGGGCTTTATACCCTGTTCCTCACCTCTTCTGCTTCTGAAGAACTGTTCCCATCCTCCAGTCTTACCGTAGACACCATTCCCCAACAATATGTCTAAGATTGACTTTCCTCATTTAGTCAGCTGTAGATAGTCATAGCTGAGACTTTTAAAATGGAATATAACTATAAGCTGGCTGTGGTCGGCTGGGCTAGTTACAGCTACTTTTAGTCTGAAATTCTGTCTAAATACAAGTACAAAATTTAGTGGCCAGGCTACAGAGGCTACAGTTCATTACTGGTTCTTTTCACTTCAGTTCCAAACCTTGAGGTAACTCATCTTCTCCTTTCCACTGGACCATTTTCTTGTTAGGTTGAGATTAATATCCCTGTATATTGAAGATGAGTGTGACATGGAGCTGCCCCTAGCCACTCTCCTGTTCCTGTCAGCTTGTCAATATGTATATGAGTCCTTTTTAGTCTGGCAGAGACACAGCAGAAAATGGAACACCTGGCCATATGATGGCGGCTGCCTGTGGAAGGTAAGTGTAGTTCTAGCTTTGACAGTTCTCTCAAAGCTTGAGGCAGAGCAGAAATGTCTGTGTGTGTTTAAAAAAACATATAATACTTTTGGCTATTGAGCAGTCTTTGAGAAAATGCATAATTCACCAGAATAAATGTTGCTATGGGAAATATATTAATTTAAGTGCCATAGTGTTTTCAGTTGCCTCATACACATGCGAAAGCTGGACAATGAATAAAGAAGACCAAAGAAGAATTGATGCCTTTGAGTTATGGTGTTGGCAAAGAATATTGAATATACCATGGACCACCAGAAGAACAAACAAATCTGTCTTGGAAGAAGTACAGCCAGAATGCTCCTTAGAAGCGAGGATGGCGAGACTTCGTCTCGCATACTTTGGACATGTTATCAGGAGGGTCCAGTCCCTGGAGAAGGACGTCATTCTTGGTAAAGCAGAGGATCAGTGGAAAAGAGGAAGACCCTCAACGAAATGGATTGACACAGTGGCTGCAACAATGGGCTCAAGCATAACAACAATTGTGAGGATGGCGCAGGACCAGGCAGTATTTCATTCTGTTGTACATAGGGTCACTATGAGTTGGAAGCAACTCTACGGCACCTAACAACAACAAGTCCCAGTTCATCAATCATCAAGCGTTCAGAGTACTTACTACTTAGAAGAACAGTGCTGGGCTTTGGGAATGTAGAAGGGTATCTGACATTGTCTCTTAGTCTCTCTTCCTCAGTGAGGTTTTTGTTTTGGATTTGGTCCTGTAGGCAGTTGGATTCATTTTGGTGTTTTAAGTGGCAGAGTGACATGGTCAAATTAGTGTGTTCAGAAGAACACTCTAGGCTTCTGCTTCCTGGAAGATGGAATAGATGCACTTTTCCCTATTCCTACTACTAAGTGCAAATAAAAATCCTGGACATTATATAAAATAAACATAAGATACTCTGGAAAGTGGAGACAAGAAGGTAGGCCGGCTAGCAGCCTTGGGACCTAAGGAATGACACAGTGGTGAGTTCCCTGGGTTTTCTTTTTGCCTCATTTATCCTAGACTGGGTGCAAAAGAAGCTGGCAACCCAGAAATGCCAATACGTACAGACCAACAAAAGCCCCAAGAAAAGCCTGCTCTCTCTAGCCAAAGGACCAAAGAGGAGCAACCTAGCAACACAGAAAATTTTAAAATAATAACTGCTCTACTCCAGCCAAGCAACATAGAAAAAACTATTCTAACTCCAGTGGCGTCACTAGGGTTGGTGTCACCCAGTGCGGTAACTCATGGTGTCACCCCCCCCAATGCTAATTACCACCATATTGTAGCTAAAACACCAGAAAATTTGACAAAATCAGCTAGTATAAAAACACCAGCAGCAACAAAAACAACAGTGCATGCTTGTAGGGTGTGCAGATGAAACCGTGTGATTCGAAGCGTCATTGTAATTGGATAATAATGACAGCTCTGACCAGAGCACATTAGAAGGTTCCAAAAGTAAATCAGCATAGAGTTTTAGCCTACATATTGACACATGTAAGCTGAGCTTTTGAAAAATTTTTTGTTATTATAACTACAGGACTATTTTTATAAAAAATAATAAATTTCTGCTGGAACACTGCACAAAAATTTTATAGACAGTCATTTTGGTGTCATCCCCTTTGACAGTGTTACCCGGTATGGTCCGCAGCCCCCGCACACCACTAGTTATGCCACTGGCTAACCTTCACTCCACTACCAAAGGCTGAATGAAGAGCCTAGACTTCCACTCTTGCCAGACTATAAAAAGGTACCCCAACTGCCTCTGCCTGGGAGGTTTCAGACAAGGCCAACTGAAGATCCAGGACTTACACCCCTGCCAAGTGGTGACAAGCATGACCCCTCCACCCACAGTGTCATTGTAGCCAGGACTTCCATCCCCACCCAGCAATAATGAGGTACCCTCCCCCAGCACCCTCCCCGTCCCCATTTTGATGGTCTCAGAAGAGACGTAGTGGAAAGCAAGACGTGCACTGCTGCTTAACAGTAACAAGGCCTCCCTCCCCCCACTTACAGTGTCAGTGGTGGCCACATGGGGAGCAGTAACCAAGAAACCGTTTTTTTCCCAGCCACAGTAGTATCAGTGGGAGCCTAATGGGGAGCCAGAAATTCCATTACCACTCAGTAGTAATAAGGATCACCTCCCCATTGCCCAGTGTCAATGGAGGCCAAGTGGAGAACCTGGACTTCCACCCACACATAGCATTATCAAGACAGCATCTCCCTTTCCCAATCAGAGCAGTGTCATAAAAGGCCTGCTAAAATACAAGACTTAAGTAGGAGCCAGAGTCTTATAAAATAATACCCAAAATGTGCAGGTTTCAATTGAAATATCCCTCATCATACCAAGAACCAGAACAATCTCGAACTGACTGAGAAAAGACAGTCAATAAATGCTGACACTGAGATAACACAGATGTTTGAATTATCTTACAAGGATTTCAAAGTAACCATCATAAAAATGCTTCGATGAGCAACTGTGAACATCCTTGAAACAAATTTAAAATAGGAAGTCCCAGCAAAGAAATAGAAGATATATAGAAGAACCAAATGGAAGTTTTAGAACTAAAAAATACAGTAACTGAAATAAAATGCTCAATGGATGAGAGACAGCAGAATAGAGACAACAGAAGAAAGAATCAGTGAACTTAAAAAAAATTTTTCCAGTTGCCATCAAGTCAATTTTGACTCATGGCAACCCCATGTGCTCCATAGGGATTTCAGTGGCTGATTTTTCAGAAGTACATAGCCAGGCCTTTCTTCTGAGGTGCCTCTGGGTAGACTCAAACCACCAACCTTTTGATTAGAAGCTGAGCGTGTTAACCATTTGCACTATTCAGGGACTCTGAACTTAAAGGTAGAACAATAGAAATTACTTAATCTGAATAACAGAGGCGAAAAAAAGACTAAAAAAAAACAAAACAAAACAAAAGAGACCTGTGGGACTATAACAAAATATCTAACATTTATGTCATCAGAGTCCCAGAGATGAAGAGAAAGAGGATGCAGCCACAAAATTATTCAAAGAAATGATGACTGAACTATTCTCAAATTTGGAAAAGCATAAACCTACAGATTCAAGAAACTGAATACACTCCAAACAGTGTAAGCCCAAAGATATCCATTCCAAGATGCAGCATGGTCAATTTTTGAAAAGTAAAGACAAAGAAAAATATTGAAGACCGCTAGAGAGAAATGATACTTTACCTATAGGGGAAAAATACTATAAATAACAGCCAATCATTCATCAGAAACCATGAAGGCTGAAGGAAATTGGCACATTTTCAAGTGCTGAAAGAAAAGAACTGTCAACTCATAATTCTATATCAAGCGAAAATATCCTTCAGAAATGAAGAGGAAATCAGATGTTATCATATGAAAGAAAACTAGGAGAATTTTTTTCATGAGCAGACCCTACCTCCAAGAATAGCTAACGGTAGTTCTCTCTACACAGAAAGGAAATGATAAAAGAAGGATTCTTAGAACATTAGGAAGGAAGAAAAAACAGTGAAAAGAACAAAAGTATGGATAAATACAATAGACTTTACTTCTCTTGAGTTTTCTGAATTATGTTTGATAGTTGAAGGAAAAATGATAATACTGTCTAATGTGGTTCTCAATGTACATAAAGTATTTAAAACAATTATTATATAAATGGGTGAGGGGAAAGGGACATAAACAGAGCTAGGTTTCTATACTTCACTTGAATTGGTAAAATGTTAACATCATCAGACTCTAATTAAAGTTATGTGCGTATACTGTAATACCAAGAGCATCCAGTAAAAAATATATACAAAAAATATATACACAAAAACACTATAGAGTGACTTCCAATTTCCAGTCTGACATATAAAGAACTTGTAAGTCATCGCTCCCATTCTCACAAGAAAAAAGCTGAACAAACTGACAATCACCACCTTTTCTTAGATCCATCAGAGAATTGAGGTCACAGGGCAAACTGCTGCCCCCAGAACTGGAGAAATACATAGGTGGATTCGGAGAATCACAGCTTACTGGAAGCAAAAGCCAGCCACTGGAACCAGTACTGATAGGAACACATAAACTGTAATTGAGGCATTAGTAGACAGTGTGGAGTAGCTTGAAAGTTAAAAACTCCAAAGGGAGGCTAGCGTTAGAGGGGCCCCGACACTTTAAGAAGCTTTGCCTCCAGCTTGAAAGTTAAAAACTCCAAGGGGAGGCTAGCGTTAGAGGGGCCCCGACACTTTAAGAAGCTTTGCCTCCACTGGGTTTTTATGGCGAAGACCAGAGAAAAATCTCATCATGCTTCTGGCAGGGAGAGGGGGAAAAATAACAATTTTGAAATATGCCCAGAGCTCTCCATTCTCCTAAACAAGGCCTGCCTTCAAGGGAAACTATTTTACCAGAACCTAATCAACTTGGGTTTTAGCAAAGCCTAACTGACCTGGGGGAAAGGAAATACTCAACCCTACCCCCTTCTAAGGTGCCCTGGTGACGCAGTAGTTAAGAGCTCGGCTGCTAACCAAAAGGTCAGCAGTTCGAATCCACCAGCCAGCCGCTCCTTGGAAACCCTATGGGGCGCTTTTACTCTGTCCTATAAGGTTGCTGTGAGTCAGAATCTACTGGATAGCAATGGGTTTAGCCCCTTCTAACTTTTCACGTGGGAGAAGGGAACTATCCAACTCAAAACCCCTCTAGCCTCCCTGTCTAACCTAAAGGTAGGGGGAGGGGGGAGCTGAGAAGACTCTTCCTGAAAGTCATAGCCCCAGGACTCAGGCTAACTAAAAGACTGAGACCTAATCATGGGACTATAGAATGCTTCCCGTCCCCCCACACCACGTCAATAGGGCTCCTATATATAATAACAGGGGATTACAACTAAAAGAACTGCAAGCCTAAGACCCTATTTAAGGAGTCTCTAGGGGAATCCAAGGACAACAGGGAAGGCAAAAAACAAGGATACTAGAGAACATTTTAGCCTCTGACACCACAGTTAAACAGTAAGCACAGACTAACTCCTAGCCAGATAAACATAAAATCTCTATTTACCTCAGTTCCTTCTAAGCAATATAACATGTCCAACTTTCAACAAAAAAATTATAAGGCATGCTAAAAGGCCAAAAACACAGTCTGAAGAGACAGAGCAAGCATCAGAACCAGGCTCACATATAGCAGAGATTTTTGGAATTATCAGATTGGGAATTTAAAATCACTGTAATTAATATGGAGCCCTGGTGGTACAGTGGTTAAATGTTCAGCTGCTAATCAAAAGTTTGGCAGTTTAAATCCACCAACCACTCCTTGGAAACCCTATGGGGCAGTTCTACTCTGTCCTATAGGGTCATTCTCTATGAGCTGGAATCAACTCGATGGCAATGGGTTTGGTTAGGTTTTTTTATGATTAATATGCTAAGGCATCTAATGGAAAAAGTGGACAACATGAAAGAACAGGTGTGTAATGTAAGCAGAGAGGTGATGATGCTAATAAAAAAATCAAAAGGAAATGCTAAAAATCAAACACTATAAAAGAAATGAAGAATGCCTTTCATGAGCTCAGCAGTAGACTGGTGATGGCCAAGGAAAGAATCATTGAACTTGAAGATATGTCAATAGAAACTTCTCAAACTGAAAAGAAAAATAAAAAAGAACAGACTATTCAAGAACGCCGGTACAATTACAAAAAGTATAACATATATGTAATGGGAATTCCAGGAGGACAAAGAGAGAAAGGAACAGAAGAAATATTTGAAGTAATAATGGCTGAGAATTTTCCAAAATCATTGACAGACAACGAAGCATAGATCCAAGAAGCTGAGAGAATACCAGACAGGATAAATGCCAAAAAATCTGTAGGTATATCATATTCAAACTGCACAAAATCAAAGAGAAAATCCTAAAAGAATGCAGAGGAAGAAAAACACCTTACCTATAGAGGAACAAGTATAAGAATTATATCAGACTTTTCTTCAGAAACCATGCAAGAAGAGAGTGAGTAAAATATTTAAAGTGTTGAAAGAAACAAAACACCAATCTAGAATTGTATAAATCCAGTGACAATATCCTTCAAAAGTTAAGGAGAAATAAAGACTTTCTCAGAGTAAGAAAAATTGAGGGAATTTGTCACCCATAGAACTACCTTGGAAGAAATGTTTAAAATGGTTCTTCAGAGAGAAAGAAAATAATATAGGTCATAAACTTGAATCTATATAAAGAAAGGAAGAACATTAGAGAAGGAATAAATGAAGATAAAATAAATATTTTCTTATTTTTAATTACTCTCATAGATAATAATTTGTTCAAAATAATAATAGCAACAATATCAGGCAATTATAACTTATGGATAAGCGAAATGAATGAGAGCAATGTAATAAGTGGTGAGAGGGAGGAATTTGGGAATACTCTGTTAAAGTACCTGCACTACCTGTGTTATTTGAAAGTGGACTTAGATTAGTTGTAAATGTATATGGCAAACTTTAGGGCAACCACAAAAAAATTTTTAAAGACATATACTTAAGAGAGGAGAGAAAAATGGAATCATATAAAATGCTCAATTAAAACCAGAGAAGGAACAAAAACTGGAAGATAAAATAAGAAACAAAAAACAAGGGTAACATATAAAAACAATAATACACAAAGCCGATATTAATCTAATTATATAAACAATCACTTTAAATGTGAATAATTTCAATATACCAATTAAAAGAG